CTGTCATAAAGGAAAAATACCTTTTCATACTTGGTAGGAGGGAAAAATGTTTTCCAAACTAAATCCCTCATGTGCATCAGAACTGGCAGTGTTCACTGCCTGATCAGAAACCTCAAAATCGACTAGCAGACCTACAAATACATAGAGTTTTTTAAAAATGATTTTGTCTTATTTTAGAAGAAGTACAATTGAAATGACATTACCCATTTAAGTGACAATTCCCCCCACCTCCCCACTAGTCAACTCTCTACCCCCCTACCACACCCCCACATGGTGCAGAACAGAGTCATCACACAATGTTCCTGGTTTTTATTACAAATGAGTAGGTAAACTTTCTCTAGATTACACAGACTTAATCTTTGGATACCATATTATTAAATAAAATAATTTAAAGAAAGAGCATTATGTAATATACATACATTCTACAATGCTTATAAATTCATGATGTTTCCAAAGCATGACTGTGGGAACAGATACAGATATGGGGTAGGGTGAAGGGGAGGCCTGGAATTTTCTGCCCTGCTCTCTTTGCTTTGGTAATACTACTGTCTACACAGCTGTCTTATTTCAAATCGAGGATTCAGAGTCCAGTGTCCTTGTCTCCTTCTAGGACTAGTTTTGGAGGATGAGGTGGAGCTGTGGGTAGTAGGGGAGAAAGGAGAGAAGAGAACGAGCTTCACCCCCATCAATCATTCTGTACTTAAATCCTGTCCCTCTTGAGCTTAGAGAAGCTGGCAGGAAGATGCCTCTGCCCAGACAGCCGCCTTTACTCTTTGTCGGCTGTTGGCTTTTTACAAAAGAGATAACATGCAAACTTGGATCTGCCGACCAAAGCACAAAAAAAGGATCAAATTTACAAGTTATCACTGAAAGCCTCAGAAACAATTTTCAAAAAACAAAAATTTCCTTTGTCATCCACATCTTACTTCTTAAACAGAAGAGCCCCACCAAAGCTCTCTGCCAGCAATCCCAGACTCTGAAAAGATATGTTTCTTTTTGGTAACTCACCTTTGACATAAGGTTGACTATACTTTCCTTTCAGAATGGTGTAACTAAGTCTTGTGCAAATAAGCAACTAGAGGCCTTATGCTTCCTAATTGAATTCTGCCTGCTGCTAAATGTCTAAACAAGAAAAGCAGTTTGCTGGGTTTGGTTTTCAAGCTGGCTAGGCCAAAACTTTATGAAGGTAAAAACAGAAAGACAAATCATGAGAACGGGGTGAGAGCGAAGGAATATCAATCCCCTCTCCCTGATAATACAATGTCGTATAAAGTTGAGTCAATCTTAATATTCACAACACAGTCGATACCCCTATTGCTTAGCTGTCAGCAGAAACTGAAGTGGAGCCCTGATAGCAAGAAAACCCTTGGACATTAAGCGCCATAATTTACTGGGAGTTACATACTTTTAGGCTTCTAAACTAAGAATCTTCAAGATTTAATGCTAACGTCTTATTTTTTAGTCAGATAAAAATTATCCACTGTTTTAAATCAGAATGCTTTCTAAAGTAGCTAAAAATCAACACAGTAAAAGTTAGTAATTTTAAATGCCTGTGGTTTTCAAATATAAAATACATTTTAAAAAGAATCACTCAACATTAAGAAACCATCTACACTATGTGAATGAAAAGCAGAAAAAGTACTCTAAGGCTCTCAATATTTGCTGTTAATTATGGCTTTAGCAAATATTTTAATAGACAGCAAAAACCCATCATCTTTTCTTGATTACTTTCAGAATCAGAATAGCCCTGCAGAGAGAAAAATCTGTTTTAAAGGAGGGCAACTCTCCTACCAACTAACAATTATAGTCAGTGTGCTATTATTTGTTCATTCAATTTGAACACAATCACATTATCCTTATAAAAAGCATCACCTGAATATTACTATATCCTGGACTTTATCTTCTTTACCTCAACTTAAAAAATGGCAACTTTATGATACCGCATAACCAACATAAACCAAGAAGAAAAAAAATCAATAGTAAAGCTTGTTTAATGTACTTGTTTGCCATCACAGGGCAGATAATTACCAAATAAGAACTAAAACACCTCAAGTAAATTGCTAATTCCACTTGAGTCGCTACTAACACCTCAAGACTAAAACACCTTCAAAAGAAAAAAATCTAACAAGCAAATTAAATTGAAATAAATTGTCAGAAATTTATCCAATGTGTACTTGTAGTTTCATTCCAGCACTTCTGCAAGACCTGTCTTCTCATATATTCCCTGCCTTGACCACTTCAAAAATTGCTTAAACTGCATCTGTGGCTAAACCTGTTCCTTACTTTATAAAATATATATTAAGCATATTTACAATGTAATGACTTAAAGCATAAAATTTAACGAATTAATAGATGTATTGTATATGCTTAAACACATCATTACCCTTCCATGCTTCTTAAAAGTAGTCTTCTCAACTCAAACACTAATTTAAACATGCTATTGGGGTCTATTCTTCTATCCGTGGAGCTGAAGCTTAGGGCTGTCTAAGTAAAACAAAGTTCGGGCGATGCTTCTCCCGGGGACTCAGCCCCTGCCATCCAAGCTCCCGTTGCTCCTTTTAAAAACTGACATACAAACAAGGCGAAAGGAGCGGGAGAGGGCGGCTGGCGCGCCGGGCCCCCTCCCCGCCCGCAGCCAGGGGCCGCCGCCTGGGGACAGCGACCCAGCCCCATCCGCATCTACACTACATTTTACACCGGGAGCGAAATTGAGAGATCGAACTCCAGATTTATTGCAGTTTTTTTCTCAAGACCAGGAGGTGGGAAGGAGAGAATGATCAAAGATGGCGGTGCCCAAAAGCAGCGGCTCTCAAGTGGAGAGTCGAAGGAGTAGCTCCGACCCCACCTCGGGGGTCTCCGGGCCCACTGCGGGGCACAGCGTCTTACCTGTTTTCTCTTTGATCTCGCACAGGACGCTGAAGAGCGCGGGTTTCATTCTGTGACAGTTCAGAGCATGTTTCCTAAAAAACAAATAGCAAGACACAAAGGTATTAGCATCACCTATGGAATAATATGGCGCCTTCCTTTAAGTTAGACTCAAGATTTAATTCCGGCCCCTATGTTGGAAGCCTCTTTTGAACCATTGCAAGTCAACAGAAACTCAAGTTGTCCAGTTAGCGGCAGCCAGCAAGCTCCGGCGGCTAAGGCTCCAGCCCGAACGCAGCGCGACCCATCCGCCCGGCAGGCAGCAGCCGCGGCGACCGCAGGGCGCGAACCCGCGCGGGGAGCCTGGATACCCGGCAGGCGACGGCGACCCGGGGGAGGGGTCGGCGCGGAGGGGCCCCCTCGTCCGCCCTCCGCAGGGGAAGCGGGCGCTGCGCAGGCGGCCGGCCGATGCAGCCAGCGGGCGGTGACAGCTCGGCAAAGTTTGCGAGGCGGCGCTCCCTTCCCCGAGAACTTGGCCGCCTCACCCGGACCCGCCAGGGAGCCGCCCATGGCCCCGCGCCGCGGCTGGGGCGGCCGCCAGCACCGCGAGGTGGTCCCGCGGCCAAGGGGAGCCCGGCGCCGGACGCGGGGCCAGAGGAGAAAGTTGCACTTCCTTCAAGTGCGGCCCGGGGCCCTCTCGGGCAGCGTTCACTGGGGTCCAGGAGGGAGGTCTGAATCCGTGGGAGGGGGCCGGGCTGCGAGAGGGCCGGGCGGGGGGGTGGGGGGAGAAAACCACAAAATCCACGCGGCGCCAAGTCCGTCCCGAGCCCCGAGAGCAACTTTGCCGACTCCGGCCCGCGTCGGGGGGCGCGGGCAAGTCCCCTTGAGGCCAGGGCGGGCGGGCAGCCGGTTTTCGGAGAAAGTTCCCGCCCGGGGCTGAGGCCCCTGCCCCGGGCGCCACCCCGGGCCCCGACTCGGCCGCCGGCCTGGCTCCCGCACACACACAAAAGATGCTTAATGAGACGACACCAACTTTGCTTGCGCCTCGTCCAAGCTCTGGTCGGTGATGGTCATGATCTGGTGGAGGATGTCGCCGATGTCCTGCTTCCTGCCGTCGCCGTCCGCCCCTTCGTGGCCGTGCGGGGGAGGCGGCAGGGCCATGCCCCCCTGCACCGAGTGGCCGGCCAGGTTCACCCCGGCCAGAGTCTGCAGCATCCTGGATTGATCGTCCATCCCGCCGCGCGCGGGCGGGAGCGGGCGGCGGCGGCGGCTGAGGCGAAGGCTGAGGCGGCGGCGGCGGCTACGAGGGAGGAGAAGAAAGAGGGGGAGGGGGAGGGGGAGGCGGCCGCGCGCTCCCCGCCCGCGCGGGGAGGGGGGGGGGGGGGGAGGGGGAGGCGGCCGCGCGCTCCCCGCCCGCGCGGGGAGGGGGCGGCCCGGCCGGCGGGGCCCGCGGCTGAGGCGGTGCGGACGGGCGCTCGGCTCCGGCTTCCGCCGCCGCTGAGGCTGAGGAGAAGCGGCGGGCGGAAGCGCTGGGCTCCGCGGCGGTGGCGGAGGCGGAGGCAGCGGCGCTCGCTGCCCTCACGCGGCCGCCGCGCCGCCTCCTCGCCGCCGCGCGCCCCACCGGGCGGCCCCGCGCAACTTGCTCCTCAGCGCCGGCCAAGTTGCCGGGACGCCCGCAACCCCCAGCTCGAGCCTGCGCGCTCCCCTCCCTCGGCCGCCGCCGCCGCCTCCTCCGCCTCGGCCGGGCAGGATCCGAGCCCCGGCGGCCCCGGGGGAGGGAGCGGCGGCGGCAGGCGACGGCGGCTGAGGAGGAGGCCGGCGGGCGGGCCGAGGGAACCGAGGGGGGCGGAGGAGGAAAGTTTGGGAGCGGGCGGGCCGGCGCTGCGGGATGCGGAGCCCTATGGAGGGCCCCTGCGGGCCGCGCACCGGGCGGACAGCAGATTGATGGGGCGGGAGAAGTCGCCGCCGCCACTGCCCGAGCCGCACACCCTGCCAGCCGCCGCCGCGGACCGGGCTCGAAGGCCGCTTGGCTGAGGGATTGACAGGCTGCCAGTGCCACTCACTCACTGCGGCCCCGGCGCCCGGGGGGAGGGGCGGTGTGAGCAGGGGGGCGGGGGAGCGCTCCGCACGCTCCGCCCCTGGGGGTGGTGCACGCGCTCATTGGGCCTTGAGCCTCCCGCCGCCGCCGCTGCACCGCCCCCGGGCTTCGACCCGCCCCCTCTGGCCTCTGATCCCCAGCGCCCGGGAGCGCAGCCCCGGATTCTCGTTTTTCGTCGAGTCTTCGACCCCCATTGTGGGTCGCGCTGGCCCGCAAACTGGTCGTGCCGGCACCCCGGCTTCTGCTCCCTGGTGTTAGCAGTCATGGGTGCGAGGAGTTGTGTGTGGGACAGGGGCAACTCCCTGCAAAGCCAACCATGTGCTTCCAGGCAGCGCCTCAGCTTCACGCCTCGGACGGCACCTGATACACTTTCCCGCTCTTCCCGTCAGGAGGTGGTACCCTTAGGGTACTCGGCTTCCAGTCCCAGGCCAATCGCAACGCGCTCGGAGCCGAAAAGGGCGGGACAGAGGCAAGAAAGGGAGGTCCCCATTGGAGCTTTCGAAAGGTCCTGGGCATAGGCGGGACGCAAAGGATGGTGACCCCGCCCCTCCCGCGATCACCATAGTAACCAAGAGGGCAAGGCTCGAGGTCGGATCCGGTGCTCCGGCTTTGCTCTGTCCCTAAAGAGGTGAGCAGGTAAGGTGGGGGAGCCCGTTGTCCATGCTTGATGCCTGTTCTGAGCGCTTCTGCATACACTTCCTTGAAAGGGTGAGCATATGAAAATGTGTCAGAGGGAAGTGGATTTGGGAGGGGGGAAAGGGCCTGAAATCCAGGACTAATTCAACACTTAGAACCCTTTACACATTCTGCAATTCCTGGTGATCCAGGGACTAGTTCTTTGACTGCGTTTGCTTTCAGCTGCCTCCAGATAGACCAAAACTGCAAAAAAAGAACTCATTACAAATAAACGTTAATTTGAGTATAGACTGGATTTCACTTATTAACTTACCCCATCACCATGAGTCATTTTATATTGGTGATTTCAGCCACATATTTCCATGTCTATAATACCTTTTCTTCCACTGTACTCTGTCCACAAATGACTAAAGGCTCACATTATTTGGTGGCCTAGATTTCCACCTCTCATGGACGCTTGAGATTTCTCTTAACCTCATTTCCCAAACAGGGCTTCAACATGTTTTCTTAATTTTAGATTCATGGAGCTCACACTGGATTGGGCCGTTGGTTAGGTAATTCTGAAAAGTCTTCTTGTACCTTCCCCAAACTCAGTAAACTGTCTTACCTGAAACCAAAAATAGGGGAATGAAATAAGAAAAATGACTCTTACTCTGCAGGGTTTAATGTAGGACAAGCAGTTCCTTACATGCCAGATGGGTTCTTGGAATGAAGCAGGCTACTCAGTTCCAGATTCTTTCCTTCATATGTTGTGTGTACTTTTAAATACTCCCCACTGCAAAGCTAATAGCTAACCTTACAGTTAGGCAAGCTAAAATCTACAAACTGCACAGCTGCTGGAGAGAGAGTTCCAAACAATCTACTCTGCTTACTTACTTCCAAAGAATCCCCCTCATGTTCATTAATATTCCCTGCTCTTCCATAGCCCATTCATGTGTCAAGTTTGTGAGTCTTCTTTCAAGCCCCCATTATGGGCTACTCATAGTCATCACTGGGCTTTCTCTTTATTCTTAACTTGTTTTTCAAAACACTTACCAAATTCTTACACATTTTTGCATAAAGGAGAAAGAGCAAGCAGGCAATCTTTCATAATTCTCCAACATGAACCTGTAAAACGACAGAATTCTATCTAAAAGATGCCTTAAGCTCTAAATTCCTTCCAGCTCTAAAATTCAATGATCCTATGACTCACTATCAAGGCCTCCTCCCTGCCCTCCTTCTAAATTCATAATCTTGACTAATCAGTCATGAGGATGAGGCTAATTAGCAATGGGGATTTATGGTTATTTCTAGCCCACTCCAAACAATGAATTATGTAAGCAGAGCAACATATATAAAAATGTAAATAAAATTAAAGAAACACTTAAGCAAATAAAGGCAATTGGGAACTATGGGCTATGTAAACAAACTGGAACATAAAAACATAAATTAGAATTAAGAAAACAGTTAAGCAAATGCTGGCAATTAGGAATAAAACAAGTTGTTAAGTGTCTAACACCCGCAGCTATTTTATGGCACACACCTCTAAACCGGTGGTCATTCAGTGATGTGGAAGCTTGATACCATAATTCTGCATTAAGTGATTGGATTAGACTGACCTGCTTGGGAGGCTTCTCTTTTTGTTATTATCAGTGTGAGTTGCAGTAAAAGCCAGAGGATCCTAGCAAGGATTCCTTCACAGGCTCATTGACAACTGCTGTTGATTTAAAGCAGAAATTCTTTTAGGTGAGTTCCCAAGTCCCAATAAACAGTGCCAACTAATTGCGCATGCTCCAAGATCTCTTGTGCCCATTTCTCATATAGGGCGTGTTCTTGTCTCCACTCAGTAATCTCAGTCAATGGTCGGTACATTCACAGAGAATAGAATAGAACTTTCCCAAGTATCTGAATCCATCTTTGCTCTTTCTAAGGCGGTGATTATTAAAAAGTCAAGGTAAATGTAATTTACTTGTGGTGAGTGTACTTTCATGTAAAATAACAGTAACAAAGTGATAAGAAAAACATGTAGCATCTCTCATATCCCTCCCTTTCCATGGTTTTATATTAACATTTCCATTGCCTCTATCATCAATGTGGCAGTCATCACAACAGATGCCATTATAGGGCACTCTGTCAGGGTGGGACACTGCTCTGTGTTCCCCTCATTTCATCTTCAGTCTCACAGCATCTTGTCTTGGTGAGGTTATTATTAAATAAGGAAATAGAATGAGGGTAATAAACTTACACAAGACCACAAATTCAAATTTTGATTTGTGTGGCTGCAAAGCCCCCCCTAAAAAACACTGCAAAAAAAAAGTCATTTAATCAAGATTACTAAGTAGAAATATGTAATTTGCCACCATACTAGCTAATCCTCTATTGTTTATTCTCAGTTCACCTGTTAGTTTTTCTCATCTAGCTCATAAGTATGTTAAGGGCAAGTTAATTTAAGATGTAACTATAACATGACTAATTGGGCTTTAAAAAAAAAAAGTAGACAACTAAGAAAGAGTTAAATTTTCCAAGTTGTCACTTTGGGAAAACTGACTAAATATTTATTCCCAAACATATCATTGCTCCATCACTTTAGCAATGGCTCTTTGAAAGTGGTCTACAACAGACAGCACATGTGACATGTAACAAATCATCTTTTGAGGATGTATTTGATTGAGCAACCAAAGGATCAGTGGTATAACAGTGTACCCTTCTGCAACGAGGTCCTCAAAAGAGAATATTTGTCGGAATACATGATTTCTGGGAGGTTTTATAGAAAACATCTCTTATATCCTTCCATTCCTCATAGCACCTATACAGTGCAGTCTCTTACATAGTGGGCACTTGGGGCCAACACTGTGAGCCACTTGCCTGTCACGCACCGGCCCATCTCCTTCCATCCTGATGGAACCCTAGTGCTATTCCAATGGCAATGTGCTCAATTTTAGTCAAGGTCTAAGTCAAATATGAATATCCTGTCCCCTGCCTTCTAAACCTGTCAGGAGTAGAAGGATGACTTTCCTGATTAAAAAAGACAGACATGACTATTCTCTCCTTCCTTCTGCCTCTTTCTATCTTTGAACATGTTTCTGATTCTGGAGTGGTAGTGGCAGCCATCTTGTGATAATGAGGTAACAATATGAGGATAAAAATCAACATGGTTGGGTAGTTTATCTCTATGGTCTTCCTCCACAAACCCATAATCCCAGTCTAATATGAGAAAAATATTAAACAAGTCCCAGTTGAAGGGTATTCTACAAAATACCTGACTAGTACTCCTAAAACTGTCAAGATCATCAGAAACAAGGAATATCTGAAAACTGTCACAACCAAGAAAAATCTAAGGAAGATATGGCAACTAAATGTAAAGGGATATCCTGGACTGGATTCTGGAACAGAAAAAGGACATCAGGTAAAAACAAATACTGAATAAAGTATGGATTTAGTTAATAATGTATCACTATTGGTTCATTAATTATAAAAAATGTACCATAATATAAGGTATTAGTATTAGGGGAAACAGGGTGGGAGGTACTGGAGAATTCTACTATCTTATCTTTCTGTTAAGTGTTCTAAAATAAAGCATTTATTAAAAATAAAAATAAACATGGTACATGGGAACAGAAAGGGAAAGCCTACGTCCCTGCAGACATTGTTGAACATCAGAACAAAATCAACAATTGCTTACTCCCAGGTTTCTAGTTATGTGAGAAAATTTAATTCCTGTTTTTAAATTCCTTTTGGCAGGGTGTTCTGTTACTTCCAGGAAAGCTTATCTAGCACTGTAAGTGCATAAAGGAATGATGGATGGAAGAACACCCAAGCACAGTGCCTGGTACAGAGCAGGCATTCCTATAGGTTGGCAGATGTTATATAATAAAAAAAAAACTTGTCTGGTCTTTGTCCTGGTTCCTGGGAGGTAACTCCTAAAACCTTTGGAATTTTCCAAGTGATAGGAGTATCTTTGCTATTCATGAGTCCCTTGGATCACACTGGAGGTAATGCTGGTAAGAAGACTTGGGATAGGGGCTGATCACCAGAAATATCAACCATGTTATTACAGAGTTGGAGTTTTGAGTCAGCTCATCCTCCCAGGAGGGGAAGGGAGCTGGAGACTGAGCTCAGTCACATAGCCAATGAATCGATCAGTCATGCCTATGTAATGAAACCCCAATAAAAACACTGGACACCAAGCTCAGTGGAGCTTCCTGATTGGCAAACACATTGATGTGCCAGGAAGGTGATGTTCCCTGACACTGCCAGAGGAAAGCATGGAAGCTCTGCGTTCAGGACCTTCCAAGACCTTGACTTTGTGTCTCTTCATTTTACTGGTCCTGATTTATATCCTTTATAATAAAACAGTAATCATAAGTATAGTGCTGCTCAGAGTTCTGTGTCATTCTAGTGACTGATTGAACCTGAGGAGGTCATGGGAACACCCAAATTTGTAGCCACTTGGTCAGAAGTGCAGGTGGTCTGGGGAACCTTGAAGTTATAGCTGGCATCTGAGTGAAGGCAGTCTTAATGGACTCTGATTAGTTATTATCTCTTGCTGGGTAATAAATTACCCCAAAACTTGTTTGCTTAAAACAGCAAAAAAGGGAAAGCCTACGTCCCTGCAGACATTGTTGAACATCAGAACAAAATCAACAATTGCTTACTCCCAGGTTTCTAGTTATGTGAGAAAATTTAATTCCTGTTTTTAAATTCCTTTTGGCAGGGTGTTCTGTTACTTCCAGGAAAGCTTATCTAGCACTGTAAGTGCATAAAGGAATGATGGATGGAAGAAGACCCAAGCACAGTGCCTGGTACAGAGCAGGCATTCCTATAGGTTGGCAGATGTTATATAATAAAAAAAAAACTTGTCTGGTCTTTGTCCTGGTTCCTGGGAGGTAACTCCTAAAACCTTTGGAATTTTCCAAGTGATAGGAGTATCTTTGCTATTCATGAGTCCCTTGGATCACACTGGAGGTAATGCTGGTAAGAAGACTTGGGATAGGGGCTGATCACCAGAAATATCAACCATGTTATTACAGAGTTGGAGTTTTGAGTCAGCTCATCCTCCCAGGAGGGGAAGGGAGCTGGAGACTGAGCTCAGTCACATAGCCAATGAATCGATCAGTCATGCCTATGTAATGAAACCCCAATAAAAACACTGGACACCAAGCTCAGTGGAGCTTCCTGATTGGCAAACACATTGATGTGCCAGGAAGGTGATGTTCCCTGACACTGCCAGAGGAAAGCATGGAAGCTCTGCGTTCAGGACCTTCCAAGACCTTGACTTTGTGTCTCTTCATTTTACTGGTCCTGATTTATATCCTTTATAATAAAACAGTAATCATAAGTATAGTGCTGCTCAGAGTTCTGTGTCATTCTAGTGACTGATTGAACCTGAGGAGGTCATGGGAACACCCAAATTTGTAGCCACTTGGTCAGAAGTGCAGGTGGTCTGGGGAACCTTGAAGTTATAGCTGGCATCTGAGTGAAGGCAGTCTTAATGGACTCTGATTAGTTATTATCTCTTGCTGGGTAATAAATTACCCCAAAACTTGTTTGCTTAAAACAGCAAACTCTGAAACAGTGTTCAGAGTTTGGCTGCAAGATTAGCTGGGTGCTTCTGGCTTAGGGTTTCTCACAAGATTGCAGTCCATCTGGGGCTGCAGTAACCTCAAGACTTACTACTTGAGGATCCACTTCCCAGCTCATTCACATGACTGTTGGCAGGCCTCAGGTGTTTATTGGCTACTGGCAGGAGATATGAGTTCCTTGACCCATGGGCCTGTCACAACATGGGGAAGCTGAATCCCAAAAGGGTGAGGAAGCCAGAGAGAAAGGAGGGCAAGCAAAATGGAAGCCAGTGCTTTTGTAATCTGATCTCAGGAGTGACATCCTAACACCTTTGCTGTGTTCTCTTTATCAGAAGCAAGTCACAAGATCCAACCCACATTCCACGGGAGAGGAACATGAATATAAAGAACATGAATATCAGGTCATAAGCATTACTTGGAGCTATTATGGACTGAGTATTTGTGTCCCCCACCCTTTCCCAAATTCATATGTTGAAGCCATAAACCAAATGTGAAAGCATTAGGAGGTGAGACTTTTGGGGGATAATTAGGTTTAGAGGAGGTCATGGAGGTAGAGACCCCATAATGGGATTAGTGCCCTTATAATTAAAGAAAGAGACACCAAAGCTTACTTTCTCTGCCATGTGAAAATACATTGAGAAGGTAGCCATCTGCAAACCACGTAGAGGTCCCTTACCAGAGCCTGACCATGCTGGCACCATGATCTCAGACTTCCCAGCCTCTAGAACTGTGAGAAAAATAGATGTCTCTTGTTTAAACCACCCAGTCTACGATATTTTGTTTAAGTAGCCCAGCCTAAGTCAGTCACCATTTTTTTCTTTGGTGATGTCAAGAGATTGAACCAGGCGTCATATAGGTGAAGATAGGCATCATCTTGAGGGCAGCCTAATACATTCTCCAAATTTAATTCTCAATGCCAAAGCACTTGCTCTCTCTCCCTCACATATTCCGTGAAATCTACCTCTGCAATGTGCTGCTTAGCCAGGTTTTCAAGGTCTTCCATAAGCTATCCCAGTTCTGTCTCATCAGCCTTATTTCCCACCTTTCTTTTTCATACACTTGACATTATAATCAACCCTATTGCCCCTCACTTTCTGGCCTCCTGCCTTTTGCTCAAGCTGTTCCTTTCAGTGGGAATGCATGCAGATCTTACCCATCTTCAATAATGCTCTCTCACCTTCATGTACAATATCTCTACTGATCTTCAAAATAAAGATTTTAAGACAAATAATATTAACCCCATTTTATAAATAAGGTTCTGAAAATAATAGTTATACTTACTGAGCACTTTGTGGCAGACACTGTGCTAATAATTTCTCATTATCTAGTTAAACCTTCACGGCAACACTGTGAGTTGGGCATTAACCTCCCCATGTATAATTGGAGAAACTGAGACCTAAAGATGTTAAATAACTTGACCAAGTCACTTGACTGGTAAATGAACTATGATTCAAACAAGGCATCTGGCTCTGCATCCTTGTAAATAATCTCCATTACACTGCTTTTAGTGGGATTATGTCACCTGTCCAAGATCACACCACTACTAAGTGACAGTGGAATCGTGACTGGAGACTTCTGACCCTTTCCACACCATACATGTTGCCTCCCTGCTCTAGTGTCACCTCAAGAAAGCCTAAGTCCCAAAGAGAAGTAAATGCTTCCTTTTTGAGTCCCCAGTATCACTTGGGTTCTTATAAAAGTATGCCTTATTTTAAATTGTGGTAAAATTACATAACATCATTTTAACCGTTTCTAAGTGTTGAGTTCAGTGGCATTACACACATTCACATTGGTGTACAACCATCACCACCATCCATCCAGAATTTTTTTCATCTTGTAAAACAGAAACTCTGTTAAACCCTAACTCCCCATTACACCTTCCTCCAGCCCCTGGCAATCACCCATCTACTTTCTGTCTCTATGAATTTGACTACTATAGGGACTTCATGTAAGTGGAACCATACAATAGCTGTCCTTTTGTGACTGGCTGATTTCACTTAGCATCATGTCTTTAAAGTTCATCCATGCTGTAGCACACATCAGAATTTCCTTCCTTTTTAAGGCTGAATGATATTCCATTATATGTATGTACCACATACATTTTGTTTATCCGTTCATCTGTCAACAGACCCTTGGGTTACTTCCACATTTTAGCTATTGTGAACAGTGCTGCTATGAACATGGGTGTTCAAATGCTTGAGTTCTTGCTTTCAATTCTCTCGAGTATATATATATACCCAGAAGTGAAATTGCTGTATCATATAGTAATTCTATTTTTAATTTTTTCAGGAACTGCCTTACTTTTTTCCACTGAGGCTATACCATTTTGCATTCCCACCAACAGTGCATAAGCATAAATATGTACCATTTAATATAGCTTCTTGGAATGTATCTTATATACTCTGTTCCTTGAAGAAAAGTCCTTTTGACATTCAACACCTGAACAATTTCAGATTGCATGTAATTGTTGCTAAAAAAATATTTTGTTAAATAAATGAATAAATAGGGTCTCAAAAAATCACTATCTTGAAACAAAGGAATCTGCTTTTATTTGAAACATACTAAAGCCTTCAGACAAGATCCAAATAGCTGCTGAACAGCGTTCCTAGAGAGATTTTTTGAAACTGGTGCATAAATCCAGAGTTTCATTTCTTAAAAATAAGTGGTCCCACAGTATATTTCTTTTTCTCTCACCAGTTTCTTGTCAACACCAGGTTCATCTCCTAGTCCTGTTTCTTTTCTAGGCTAACAATAAAACTGATTTAAAGTAAAAGTTTCTCTAAGAATTATGCTCCAATATGCTGATCTGAAAATAAATTTTCCGAAATTATTATTTTTTTACCCATAAGGGGGCCATCAAAGATTTCCCGGTGATATTATTTCCCAAGAACTTATGCACAGGTTATAAACTTCCTTCTGTCAGAAGCAACTAGTAGATACTTTTGATTCTCTTCCATTTTGAATTTCTAGGTCAGATTTTAATGCAGAAACAATTAAAATGGACTCAGAGGCCTTTCTATTATTATAATTAATAACTGTGTTACAGAGGAAAGTACTATTCAAGTATATATTTAAGATTTTATTTTTTAGAAGCAAACTTGTGGGATATTTTCTCCTATATTACTACTCAATACCACAATAAAGTGGAAAGAGAAGAGGAGGTGAAATTAATAAATGATGCTCCACAAACCATATGAGAGACAGACAGGTGAAGAGGTTACATATTTGCCTAAAATCACATTTTATAATCCCTGGGAATTTTGGTCATCTGTTATT